CGATGTTTCCATTCCATTCATTTCCATTTCACATTTTTCTTGTTTTTTTATATTTTATGAATTAATAAATTACTTTGAATTTTAATGAGATTGACTTTTCGTGCTTAATGTGAAGGTCCTTCAAAGTAAATAAGACTGGTGTAAATGTAAGGTGGATTGGTTTCGTGTTTTTTTTTTGTTGTTTTTTTTTATTGTGTATTAGCTTTAGTTAGAAATCATATTATTTACAGACATATTATTTCTTACATCAAAGAATTGTATTAAATAGATGGAGGGGATAGATTGATTGAGAGATAGATTGATTGATTGATTGATTGATTGATTGATATATAGATAGATAGATAGATAGATAGATAGATAGATTGATTGATTGATTGATTGATTGATTGATTGATTGATTGATTGATTGATTGATTGATTGATTGATTGATTGATTGATTGATTGATTGATTGATTGATTGAGAGAGCGATAGATTGAGAGAGCGATAGCCTAGTTGGATATTAGGAATCCATACCCTGTCCCCACACCTCGACCTCACAAAGAGTCAGATAGTTGTTCGGGAGCGAGACACTAACATATCGTCCGTCAAGTGCAGGGTCGCACTGTCGATCAATCACGGAGCCGGCTCTGGTTTCTGCATCAGCGATTGCCTCTCCGCATTGCGTATTAGTCAGCATACCAGCAGCGTCATCTCCGACACGAATGGTGGCCCCATTCAATCGTTCCCGGCAGCAATCTTATTAAAATAAGTTTGTTATTAGAACAGTACTCTATTTTTAGCAAATACGTAATCAATGAATGCTCCACACCCACATTGGAACGCAGTCACGTACCGTATATTATACGAATCGTTAAGTTGAGCAGTGTAATTTTGATAATGTGTTTTATACTATCGTAAGTGGAGAGTCATGTCGACAATACTACAATCACACAGAAAACATCCTCTTCACATTATCAGCATCGGCATCTTCATCGTCATCATCATCATCATCATTATCATCATCATCGCCATTTTATTAAAGTCATATTCACCTTACAAAACCCGTTGTTTGCTTTGCGTACGGTCGACTGATATATTATTTAGGCCTACAAAATATAGGCGTAACAGTCTACTGGTCCCAATAATTATTGTTCACCAAGTCCTTAAGCAAAATACAGTGTGCCATTTACCTACCTGCTCGATTGTAAATTCTCACATATTGAATGCTGTAGGTATTTCCTAAATCCACCATCCACCAATTTTGCTCTTCTCTTTCTGAATGTACGGAAGAATAAATATCATAATCATCATCATATCGTCATAATTAATTATTATTATTATTATTATTATTATTATTATTATTATTATTATTATTATTACTATTATTATTATTACTAGAGGGTGAGCTCGCTTACCCTGTAGTATAGTGGTTCCCAACCTTTTTTTCGTTCGCGGACACCTATGGACATGTAAAAAGTCTTCAAGAACCCCATGTCTAAATATACTCTTTGTCCATATCCCCCCAATTGTTTTTTAAATGTATATGGCACTTCTAGGTGGCCGGAAATTGTACTGTCAGACTCAAATTTTTTTCAGGTAATTTTCTTTTATTCCGCATTTAATTTTCAATTTCGGTAAATTTTAGGGCGATTCATGCTTGATACTTCTACCAATAGGCCTAAGATTATGGATAGAAGGTGATTCCAAATTACGACATCTGGGATTTTAAAAATCGCCATAGACAAGAAGAAGAAGTGCAGACAGTGAATATAGGGAATTACGCTACCTCAGCCCCACCATGGTTGAGTCTGAGGTACGA